ATTTCCTCAGCACCCTAATAGTGTTAGGTAATGGGTGAAGTATGGTGCCCAGATGCAGTGACCAGATTCGATTATTGGCCTAATGTAAGTAGTGAAGATGTGGAAAAGTTGAGATGTCAGGTGTTTGAAAGCTCTGTTTATCAGATAAGAGAGACAGTCGACTTTTTCATCACATAACCAACATGAGTACTCCATTTTATATCCTGTGAGATCATAATTCCCAGGTCAGACTGAAATGGAACATGCAGAATGTATTGGTTGTTCAGATGATAGTGTTTACACATGTAATTTTTTCCGTATGAAGAATAGAACACCTCAGTGAATTGGCAGTGAGCATCTAGTTGTTTGATCATTGTGATAGGCTGTCGAAATCATCTTGAATATCAAGCACGTAGGGGGGGGGGGGGGAAGCGGCACTTAATATAGCACCGTAGCACTTCATCGGCAAACATCTCATTGGGAGATACCATCAGGTTACGGAGGTCAGTTATGTAGAGTAGGGAGAGACAGGCTCAAAACGGAACCTTGTGGAACATCGCAGAAGGCAGGCAGTTTCCACCACCAGTTCTGTAAAAGTACAGTAATCCAGCATAAGAGCTGTACAGTAATACAGCATCCAGCATCCTCACAAACCTAACTGCTTGAGAGTGAACAGAAGCTTTTTATGAGGGACCTTATCAAGAGCCTTTTCAAAGTCAATGTTGTTGATATCAACTGGTAAGGCGTCATTTTGTGAGTTGGTCCACTTGCTCAAACATTTCAGTAGGTTAGAAAAGAGAGATCTGCTTGGAAGAAAGCCATGTTGGTTGTACAGAAAGATATTGTTGATCTTGCAGAAGTCCAATATTGAGGCAGTGACAATGTTTTCCATGACTGACGAAGGGAGAGTAATATCGGTAATTTCCTCCTACTGTTCTGGCACTTGCCTTGTATATAGGAAAGAAGATTGCTGAGGGCCAATCGGGCTGAAGGCTTTCATGGATCTTTCAAAAAGGTCACCCAAGGTTGGACTAAGTGATGAAACACATTGTTTAATCAGAAAACGATGGATCCTAACAGCACCCATAGACATTGTTTTTGATTTTCGTAACATGCTTATGGACCTGTTGAACAGGGAAATGGACATTGTAGTGGCTGGCCTGAGTGCATGAGAGAGCTAGAGGGCCAGCACCTTCACGTATGAAGACACTGCTGAATTGGTTGGCTAAAATCTCAGGAATCACAGCGGGATCGAAGATAATGAGACAGTCCGGATTAACTATAGAGTACTAGGTGGAACAGGTTTGGAACTCAATTGGCTCTTAAGATATTTCTAGAATTCATTTGGACCGGAAGATACGAGTTCCACTTCGTAATGTGCACTTCGAAGTCAGTTGCAGAGGGTTGTTCCTGTCCATATAAGTAATTTAATATTTCTTCTTCATCGCTATCAGTTGTTGTATCGGAACTATCATCAGTTTGTTGTGCAGGACTCTCCTTCTCTGGTTGCAAATGGGGATTTCTAAGTCAATGTAGTGAGGTTCTAGTCTAGTAGTTTTGACGTGCTTTTAGGTCACGAGTGGTTTGGAATGATGAAGGAAGGCGAGCTAGATCGCGTGGCAGGGAGATGGGTTTTAATACAGCCTAAAAATTCTGAAAGGATGCGGTGTTTTGTGAGGATTGGACAAGAATGGCATTTAGACTGTTGTGAGAAGGGTGGTAGGGTCAGATTTAGCTAAAAGGTGTAAGGTAGAGGACTTCTGATACTAAATTATCTGTGTTAGTGACGATCCGATCAAGTTGAGATCCTGTTGAGTTCCTAATTAACGAGTTGGTTCAATTGATTATTGCATAGAGATTGGTGGTGCAATGTAAATCTAGGAAATCTTTTTTGTGCGGAGTGGTGATATTGTTGGCCAGGAACTTCTAATTAATGTTTGGGGAATTGAAGTCCCCAAGAATTAAAAGATTAGACTCATCTGATTCTCGCAATAGTTTGTTGATGAGGGTAGAGTTTTGCTGGTCAGATGCATTGGGAGGACGATAGACAGCTACCCACAAGATGGAAGCGGTACCAATAGAATCAATCATAGAGATTCATCTTCAAGTTCTAAATCAAGAGTATGGTGCAGGACGTCATGAACAAAGAGGGTGTTGTGGTTTAACATGCAGAGAAAATTTGTCAGTCCTCTGCCTCTCTTGTGAGAACAGTATTTTGAAAAGACTTCATAGCTTGCAAGAAGAAAGTTTCAGGAGTGTGCAGTTTCAACCATGTCTCAGTTATGATAATATGGGGGAGTATTTGGAAACATCAGAAAAAAATTGGTAAGCTTATGGAGAATGGAACTCCTTACCATATTATATCGCAGAGCAATGCCTTCTAAGTTGGCTGCTATGGCAATATCCATTTGTTATACCGGAAGTGATGTAGTATCTCTTCTGATACTTTTATGAAATTATGAAAGTAAATTAATGTGAAATATTCAAGAATGACAAATTTGCCCTTTGACCCTGAGGTACATACGGGTCATATGCCACAAAGAAAAATGCACAATTTGCAGTTCAAATGTGTACCACAGCTTTTTATTATTTTAGAAAGGCTTACAATGAGCATTCGTTTTTCTTGATTTCCTTTTATTTGTACAATGCTGTTCAAAAATTAGTAATCCTCGAAGAAACATGTCTAAACAAAGAAGAAACAAGAAACAAATCTAAATACGAAACACTAGGCAAGACTTTTCAACATTCATCAAATGCACACAAACCAAAATGGTCTGTTATAACTACTAACTATAAGACACTGTGGACAAAATATCTCAGCATTTACAGGACAGTGTTGCCACAAATAAATTTCAAAACTGAAGTTTTGTACCTTTTGTAAAGTATTTAGAAACATGTAAAAACATTCAAATCAGTTTTCTGTAAGAATAATAAGAACAACTTATAACAGAGTTATTTAATATAAATCAATGAATTTATGGAACAAAATTGAATTTTTAAATGCTAAATACTAATGGTTTCCTTCATATCCACCATGTAAGTTCATTGTGTTAAACTTACTTACATGAGATATCGTTGTGTACCATGGATGGTTTTCAGGTGATCTGTGTGAAGTATACATATGTGCCTCCTAGCAATCAAGGCCAAGGAGGTGTTACACCCCCTCATAGTAGGTAACTTATTTTAGCAGTATTCAAAGAGTGGACATGATTCAAACTAGTAATGCTAGAACAATATTTACGTTCTTGCAATATTGTTAATGGCTATGTAATATTATAATATGACTTACTGCCTTACTCTTCAACTTACATTTGAAAAATTCTTAAACAAACAAACTATAAAAAACACATTATTTTTTAAATTCAAATGTTTAAATGAAAACAGTTTTCTGTCATTAAATATATTTTTAACTTCTTCAAAATTACTTAGTTTTTACACATATTATTCTTCATTTCCACATCTTATTATGAGAAGAGAAGTCATCTAGTCGTTTTCAGATTTAACTTTAATTAAAGGTCGTAATTGAAAAGGATATTTCTGAAAGAATAATTTGTTAAGTATAACAAAAGCTTGAATGTAAGAAATGAACAAAGAAATATGAAATAGTATACAAATTTTGGTTTATGTAGCATCCAACTGCCTAAAAACATCTCTCATATTATGTTACATTACATCTATGACGTTATACAATAATACATTGCCACAATTAAAACTAACCAATATTTAAGACACTTTATGTTATGGATTTTATCAGTCACATCCATCTTTAACCCCTGTTAACATTCAACCCTTCATGTTTGTTAAGTGCACTTGTACCTACCTGTATGTTAAGAAATTTAACATACTTAGCAGTGTAAAGAAACAACCATTGATTCATCGCAAGTCAAATCTTTATTAAAAAAAACTGTCAATGTTTTGCACAATTCAGAAGAAAAGTAACTCATCTTCGTTTTGGGGATAATTATTGTTAATTTTAATATTAATAGTGTAATTAAAAAATGTGCATTAGGTTAATTAGGTTATCCTCCTTTTCCTGGCATTCCACAAAAATCTTCTCTGGTAATCATATTTATTGACGATCTGAAGGTGTCGCTACTGAAGGTCGATGCTCCAACTTCGTCATCGAATGTCATTTCTTTAAGTATTTTTAGGTTCAGGACAATTATTTGCTTTCATCTTTTCTCAAATCATGGTATGGGCATATTGTTTAAATAGTCTTATCACAAGTAACACCCCACCATATCTGCAACAGAATTAATTTGTTTACTGTCGCAGCAATGTTGTAAATTTTCTCATCAGTCGTGAGATTTTATGGTGACCAATAACATGCTGAACATAACACGAAATGTTACAGTGTTACTGGCTCATCCAAATTAAAACTTACGGCTCCACTATGCCCCGCCTTGATTTTTATCTCTTATCTTCTGCAATAATAACACTCAAAATTTCTAGGTACGTTAATAGCAATAAATCTGATTTAATTTAAAAAAATCTGATTTTTTAATTATTTTGTTTATTTTTTCATGATTTTTAGAAAACTTATTTTCATTTACATTTCATCCTTTTTTCCCTTCCAAATGATCTTCATTTCCATTTCTTTTACCTACATTGATACTTTTATTACTTAATTTTCATTCCTTTCCTTGCAAAACAGTTTTCTAAATAAATTCAGGCATACTGTTGAATTTTTAATTCCTTATATTTCTTCATTTAACTGTTGTTTAATGTTATTATGTATTAGTTATATTTACTTCTTCGAGTGGGAAAAGCAATGGGTGTGAGGGTGTTGTTCCAAGTGAGGAAATGATTTAAGATATTTTTTTTAATATTTTGTATAAATCATGCAAAAAGACCTTTTATCATATATTCAACTCTTAAAATTCAATTTGTTGAATTTTGTTCTCATTTTATCTGCACTTAGTGTTGACTCGCTTTGTGGAAAATATGTTCTTTACTTGCTGACAAATTGTTAAATAGTACAATTTCATTAATATATTAACATCTGTTGTGTATATTGTCAGGTGGGAGAAGAGAGCTATACAAGCTATCCTGATGAAGATCGTATGCCTGCTGTTGCTCTCCAGCGGGCAGCACAGAATGCTCTCAAAGAGTTGAGGAAGCGGTATGAACTTGATGGTGGTCATGCATTTCCAACTACTCAAAATCCTGAAATTATTAAAGCACGAGTGTCTGAGGTGAATAACAGTGTTACTTTTAAGTTGTTTTTATTGTCAGTGTATAGACTAAATGGTAATTGCATTTAACTGCATTATTGATATTGTAGTTTTTTATGCATGGTTTTAGAGAACATCTTTGGATTTAAAACTGCACTTTAAATCTTCAAACTTGTTATTTTTGCTTTGTAAACTAACTTCACACTTTCGTGCTCATGCTCACACTTGCAATTTAAGAGAAAATTTGTAATGTTAGAGACTGTTTTATTTTCACACTTCAAAATCAGGGAAGTGTTTTAAATCTTTTTTAAGACATTAGGAAGGAATTAAATTACAGAATATTTTGAGAATGAGCATTTCATAATATTTTTTGAAGCTGCTCAATTGTTTTATTGAATTCCTCATTTAACAAAACTGCATTATCATTTTTGGGAGTCTGTTGCTCATAGAGAAACAATTGTATCTAGAAGATAATTATTTGTAAATAAATGATGTCTTTTTGTGGAATAATTTTTTTTCCAGTTGGTGGCATCTCATACTGCTGGAATTTGGAGTTTTCAAGTTCCTTTAGATTACCGCAATAAATGGATGGAAAATTTGCCCATTCAATGGTTGGATGTTGTTCGCAATTGTTCTCAAATTTCTGTGGATATTGGTGCTAATAACCGTATAATTTTAAATAAGCAAGTTATCAGTCCAGCACCTGAACTTGATAACAACACAACTAGTTCTGTAAGTACTCAGGTTATAGTAAAGTATTATATTCTTGCTTAAGAGTTGAGTTAATATGTAATCTTCCATTGCTAGATATAAAATCAAAAAGTCCCGTTGAGTTTTCTCATAATTGGATTTAAGTTTTTGAAATATATTATTTCTTCCCAAAAAGTTCTTACCTGCTTTAGAACTATTGAAAATAATGATTGTAAATACTAATTCACACCGTGTTTGAAGAAAATTTGTTCCTGTTGAAATATCTTCTGACGTAGTTAAACAAATCTAAAATTGTGTATGTGTAGAAAATCTTTATTGTTTTTCCTTTTGCCCAGGTCTGGCCCCATGTCCATTCTAAGGTTGTTCCAGAACCAATTACATATCCTTCTGAGGAGGTTTGGGATGTTTATGTAACGTGTGCTCTGACAACTGCTGATGTCTGGGTCAGGCTTATTGGAGAAGATTATAATGTAAGTACTCTTTTGCATCAACATGGAAGATGTTATGATTTTGTGAAGATGAGATCGTAATTAAGTGTATAATCTTTGTGTTTAATATTCAGTATGTATAATGTGAATGGTGTCAAATATTTCTCTCTTGCATAGGTGCGATATGAAAATATGTCTGCAGATATGGAAATTCACTACATGGACAATGCTGTACAAGCAGTGAATCCAGAAGTGGGAAACTATTATGCAATTAAATTGGATGATTGCTGGCATAGAGTAGAGTTTGTTGAGATGCAAGGTGGTGATAATGCTGTAGTATTTTTCCTTGATCATGGAGATGAAGATGCAGTTCCATTAACAATGTTACATGTTTTGGAGCCAAAATATGCTAAACTTCCTGCACAGGTATGTTTGGGGTAATAAATGCAAAACGTTATCTTAATTTTTTAATATATTGAGTAATTTTCTTGATTTTCCTTTAGGCTATACAAGTTGTTCTCTCCGGATTGGAAGAATTTGCTGAAGATTTAAATGCAACAAACCATTTAGTGAATACTGTAATTGGTAAGACACTTGTTGCTCAGGTTGTCTCCAAACCAACCCCTGAAGATCCGGAGGCTGTCATTTCTGTGCTATTGTATGATACCAGCACAGATGAAGATGTTGATATGAACAGACTTCTAGCAGAACGAATCAGTCAGGAAGCCCAAGCACCTCACTTACCAGAGGCAAGAGACATATACCACATTTTTATTTTTCATCAGAGCATTTTCTATTTTCTGAAGGTACCTTACTCTTTATGCTTCCTCAAATCATGCAATGTTCACCACCACATTGACTCCCATCAATAATAGAATGCAAACCTACTGTATTTACCCAAATATAAGTCTAGGTTTCTCCGTAAATATCTCAGTCAAAAAATGTGGGGAGTATATTTGAATTAATGCCTTATTTTACGTGGCGAGACTCAGGCCATGAGGCCTGCTATTCCGTCTAACCACGCAAATTTCGCTACGCTCCTTTCACCAACTAGCAGAGAAAGGTGGTATTTCTTGGGCGAGAAAGAGGCGAGTTTTAAATTTAGCTCAGAGGCGTCATTTAGGCTTGAGGATCTTTTACATGCAAGTTAATCTACTCACATGGGACAGCCGGCTTTACTTCCCCTCTGAAGGAAGGCCTACGAAGGATTTTTCGCCCTTAAAAATCCACAGCTTCGATCGGGTTTGAACCCGCCAACTTGGGTACAACAGTCCGAAACGCTAATCGTTACACCATCGCCGCGCGTGATTTGCAGATTAAGGTCGATTAGGTCGGCAGTTAGGCTTAATGTTTTTATATTGCCATTCCACATCACAAAACTTGTAAATGTTGATTTAACAATAAGCTTTGAAGACAGTAAAAATATGGTGTAAATTGTATCCGTCTCCGGTTTTTGGTTGCCAATTGGAGATACCCTGGGGAAGGAGCCGGATCGCCGGATCCTGCTTTCCAAGAAGCTGACCACAAGGCTGTGCAATCACATCTTCAAATTGTTGTCCAGACACACAGAAATACTCAGTTCCCCAGTTAGTACTATTGTCACCATTTATTTACATTGGAGATTATACAAATTCAGTCACTGCCAAAACTATTCAAACACCCGGGAATTTATGGTATTTACAATGAATTTAAAAGAACTCTTAATTCAAAAATCAAAATTCTTATATTATTTGAAAAATACAGTCTCATAATAATATAAACAAATGTGTCCTTGTTCAAACGTACATTTTAAACACAAATTAACAACTGAATACAAAAGGAACTGAAAATGCTTTCTTCAAAACTATTCAGACACTTGGGTTATTTAACTTGGCAAAAAACATTATTATAATATGGGAGAATTTGATTTGTATTCTGAATATTACTTATTTATCCATTCTCTTAATCTTTGAGTAGATTATTATCTAAATCAATACTATGGTTTTTGTTTTATGGGGATGTCACCTGGAGGTGACACTGGGCATTTGCGGGTCTAGCCGTCTGAAGTAAAATGCAACAAAATGATTTTCAAGAATTTGTGTCCAATGTATCAAATGGCTCTAGTTGTTCTTTTTGCCCAAAATAAGAAACAACACATGAAATTGGTGTAGAAAATAATTATTTTTAACAATAATTTGCATTATAAAATTTGTACTATTACTGAAAATGAAGTGCTACTTTACACATTTGGCTCATGATTCTTGTGTGTTGATGACACAAACTGCATTGTCTCTGAGAACAATCTATTCTAATGTTGTTTCATCAGACTTTGTTCTTAATACCGGTTCAGTCGATCTTTGACGGAATCTCCGGCATGGGAGGTTTGAGGCGCCTTTCCATAAAACAAACCATAGTAAACTTAGACAATCACCTTCGAAAGTTGCAGTATGTAAATTAAGGGACATTTTGAGTGTTTAATTACAAGCCAAACAGTATACTTGTTTTGGGTTCAAAGAATGTTCGTCATTTTTACTGTCGTCCTCTCTTTTACCAGGGTTGAGATGAAAGTAGATTTCATCTTCAACTCATTGTATTTGAGATTGAATTGGTTTTTTCTTCTTGAAATATTTCTTGCCTGAAGTGTCAGATTGCATTGCTGTTTTCTAAGCTATTTCTTCACATGCTACATCTAGTTGATAAAAGTTTCATGCACCAGAATCCTTCATGGTTTTTTGAACTTCAACAACTAAGTTCAGAAGTCAGTCGGACAGATTCTCTTTCAGTTTCTTCACCCATTTCCACATCGATGAACAGAGCAACATCAGGAGGTAACAAAAGAAAATTATCATCTTGGTAATGCTCATCTATCTTTTCTAAACTCTCATGCACTTCTAGACCGCAAACGATAAAAATAAAATGCGTAAGAATGTGTGCCACTGAAGATCGTGCATCAATTCTATATCAAACTAACATCAATTCTCTGTGTCACCTGGAGACGACACCCCGAATTTGTTGTCTGTAAAATCTATCATCAACGGTTAATTATTGAATGACAATTACTAATGAATTGTTTGCAGTTTTCAAATTGCAGTCAACAAGTTATTGTTTATTTGTACTTATTTGTACTGTATTTATCTTCCAATTTTTGTAGGAAGAAAGAGCATAAGTGCAAAATGGGCTAAAATTACTTCAATAAATTAAAATAGGCATGTTGCACCCAGTTGCAGTGGTGCCAAATTTCTATTTCAGTGTGTTCAAAAGGTCGAAACAAGGAATTTGCTGAAAAATGTGTTCACAATTTTTTTGTATTTTCAGCAGATTCCATTTTTCCATTCTTTCTGAATTACTTTCTTCAGATGGTGCTTTGATCTAATTGGAGATTTCCTGACTGTCTTTTCTAGTAAATGCTACAGATTTTCAATCTCGTTAAGATCAGGTGATCGGGGAGGTGGTTGAAGTACTTTTGGGCAATTGCATAATGACCAAAGCTGCACTATTTGTGATGTATGCTTCAGGTCATTATCTTGATAAAACAAAATTGCGAAGCAGATCCATTTGTTCAGAATTTTTTTTAAAATTTTCTTTAAGGATGTTAAGGTAATACTCTTTGTTTGTTGTCTGCTCCATGAATCTCGATTCATGGAGAATCATGCATCATGGATACCATAGAGGAGAGATACAACTAGAGTGCGTGTGAACCTACTGCGCAGGTTTCAACATGAGGTGGCCACAAGTCACGTGACTTTGGGACACCGATAGCTTGTTTTGCGTTGTATTGTGTGTACCTTTACATGCTGTTTGTTATTTCTGATGCTACAGCGTAATTATTTGGGGGTGCTACAGTGTAATTATTTGTCCTGGCTAAACTATACTAGTTTAGCCAGGACCATCTGGAAATGTTTTTCAGCTGCATACGGAGCAAAGGCGGATTCAACCATGATCCTACTGCTAAGCAATTTGCTGGGGCTTACAAGCGATTACTGGTGCATCGCCAGATTTCTTCTTCTGCCTTTGCAAATTGTGTTCCACAGGGTGAAACAACTATATTAAATGTTAGTTCACACCAGTATGCAAGTGTGTCACAAGTGAAAGATCCTGAATTGCGCATTGAGGTGCCAATTGACCATATGTACTTGCCATCAGTAGACAATCTTAAAACTATATTGTCTCCCTATGTTGTGGACATTGTAACGTATATTGGAGGATTTGTAGTAAAAAAATTGGAAATGTCATTTGCTTGTGTTGACTGTAAGATAGTTTTTTTGCTGGACTGATAGTGATGAAGGATCATATTCCTTCATTCAGAGGAAGGATGATCATGGGCTGAAATACTCTTCTGCACATGTGAAAATCTGCAAAAGAGCAGAAGTAGAAGTAAGAATACTTCAAGGGAGAGGTGACCATTTTTAAAAGGGCAGCTAACACTACAATTGTAAATATATGCTTGAGAGAATTTGTAAATAATTCCGTTTTTTGTAATTTAACTTAGCATATTATTGATCAAGAGGTCATGCTGAATCATAGGATGTATTTGATTAAGGCAATATTATTTAAATATATTGAAATTAGGTTAAATCATAGGAAGAGAAAAGACTGAAATTTACCAGAAAAACAGAATTAGACCAGTTAATAATAAAATGATTTTATTTAGAGGGCAGTAATGTGTGTGTATTTATTGGTGTTAGCGTAGGCTTGCACGATGGAAAAGATAGCAGTGATGTTCGCACGCGTGACACGTATCGCTGATTACGTAAAGATACGTCGATGCCTGCCCATAAGAGTCGATTAACGCCTGTCGTAGATTAATACTGTATCTTTTGCGAAACGGCGCATGAGCGTACTTGGCAATGTGCGTTATGCCCACAGCTCAAACGACGACGTAAAGCATGATAACGCGAGTTTTCAGCGCGTGACGCAGCGAAACGACGCGCGTTAGCAAGATCTTTCGTGTGTCTTTTGCATAAGATACAATGTTAATCTACGTCGCGCGTTCCGTGTCTCGTGTGCGCAGGTATCGAGGTAGCTGATATCTTCATCGTTAGGTGACGCGCGTCAACGCAATGCTCGTCTGACACAGGCCAAATTGTCATTATAAGTCGTTAATTTCCTCGAGTTCCAATACTTGCTTTAAAAGTGCCGCATTTTTGTCGTGCAATTTGGTGAACATTATACAACCGCCGCACCGGAAGACACTAGCGGCCCTATTTGTTCATCCTGTACTTTTTTCTAAAACGGAGTGTTGAAACGCCCTGCGTAGCGACGAAATTAAACAACCTTATTACTGAATTACACGAACAGTAAGTGATATTCAAGGCTCAAAAGTTTGAGGGGCTTTAAAAGTCAGATGATGTTGCAGTACAGAAGGACCAAAAAGAAAAGAACATTGATGCATGTGAGGATGATGATGGTTGTGATAAAAATGATGGTCATAATTATTTTAGAGAACAAGAAAATTTTCGGTCTGGCAAGAAGTCTTAACATTCTCATCATCAACCATTTTCAAGTCAATTTGCAATTTTATTTTAAATAGTAAGAATTTGTTTAAAATTTAAAAATTCTCAGAAGTTTTCTTAAAATTACGGGGCTGTCTTATATTTAGTGACAGCTTATATTCAGGTAAATACAAGAGTTTGTAGAGATATTGAGTGAGTGCATTGCATAGTAAGATTGCAAGAGCTGCACACAGATAATGTTAAAGAGAGTTTTCAATATCATATGTATGCATACATTCATTTGAAAGACTATTTTAGGTTTGGTGGCATTTGTCATAAGTTAGAATCTACAAAATAAAATTCAAGAACTCTATAAACATTTTTTTTCTTTTAGTTTCTAAAAGTTTGAAAATAATATTTTTAATCTTTAATTTCAATGAAGTTCTTTTAATAGTGTATAAAATGATGAAAGTTGCCACTACCCTTTTTATTCTTATAATTTTGTCGCCACAGCTGCCTATGCAGCAATGGACAAGCATTTGAAGGTGCACTGCAAGTTCATTCTTGAGAGTAAATAATTCCATGAATTGCTTGCAAGTGATCAGGGTCCTGCAAGCTTCTCTCAAGATTATCGTACTAGTTGCTTTCTTCTGGACCTGCACTTCTGCTCAGCTTTCCTTACTTTAGAAATTGTTTTGTTGTGACATCATTGATGATCAAATTGACAATGTTACTTAAAGTTGTATTCACATCAAGTTCACACAATAAATGTGGTATAGCAGTAGAGTTACAGTGTAACTAAAAAACCACTATGTGTACATGTTTTACGCACACAGAGGCTACATGTGCATACTTATAACCAAACATCTACTCTTGTAGAAGAGTGTTATTTGATCAGTGAAAACATGGGCAAGTACAGTAAAATCCCAATTTTATTCTCCGTTATAAAGTTATCTCTACTTTCATCACATTTGTAATTCTTTCAACACTTGAATCATATTGAAGGAACCCCAAAATGAACACACTTTCTTTAGTCAACTTTTCACTTACTGCGAGCGAGCTGGCACGAGGGACCCAAGGCCATGGATGTGTATGCCTCCTCCATCAGGGGCCCTTGCAATAAACAAAAGGGCTGCATAGTTCTCCCAGTTCATCTTTCCTTGTTGCAGAAGAAAGATCCTCTGCAATGGCCACAAGGCACGTTGTTTTAAATCCTATTAACATAGTAGAGTTCCTCTTGAGTTACTTCCATGACAAAGGTTTATCTCGGACAGGAAGTATAAATGAAAAAGAACGAGAAATGGGTCAATGCATCATTGAATTGATTGAAAATAATAGCACAGGGGAGGAGCATTATGAGGAATCAACCCTCGATGTATGTGAAGGAAGTGTTTGTGAATCAAGTGATACAGACTGCGATAAGCATACTTCTACCACGGGTGATGATATGGGCAAGTGTTTATTAGAATCAGACAGCGAATCCCCGGAAACTAGTGATACTAAATGTCAGTTATCCTGCAAATCCTCCAGTTCAATTTATTATCTAAGCCTTGTGAAAAATGCAAATGATGTTAGCATTAGCTACAAGAAGAAAGCTGTGGAATTCTGGATGAATGAGGGCGGTAAGAAAAGATATTCAATATCACTTGTTCGTAGAAATTTTTGCAACGTGATGACAGAGCGACAATTATATTTATGGAAGATGCAAGTGAAAACGTGATTGTAAATCCTAGAGGACACAACAAAATTATGTATGAGAAAAACTTTGGTCTTGATTTGAACGTGCATGAACAAATCAAAATGTGAATGATGAAGACAGTGGGCCCTGGAAATTTCACAAGGAACTGGCCACGAAAATAAGAACTCTCACATCTGGATCAATCGTTTAAAAAAAAAGCTCACAAAATTAAGAGCAGGAAAATAACAAAATTTGTATCTCGCACTCGTGTACACCACAAAACAGAACAGAATGTGGTTGCAGAGGAATTTCTCCAAAATGCCAAAGAGAGATTTTCACATTACTCACCGTCTTCTCTGTACAATACAGACCAAATTGGATTTGAACACGAAATGCGATTGAGATGGACATTGTCGTTTGTTGGTGAAAAACACATCCAGTCGGTTCCTCAGTTAGTGCTTTGTCTCATTCGTACACTCTAATGCCAACAATAAATGTGGGTGGATCTTATTTGCCTCAATTATTTACAGTGCTGCAGGAACCAAGATAATTTTTCGGTCCGATAGTCTCCAAAAGAATGTTTCAAGCTGAAAGCCTAATTGTTACTGCTACAAAATTACAAAAAATGGAAAAGAAGGAGTTTAAACAGTGGTTTAAAGAAGCGTTCTTCCCATTTGTAAGCGAAAATTTTGCTCTGCCATTTGATTCATAGACAACATACAATGACAGAACTCTTACACATAAGACATTTGAGTTGCTTCCACTTGAAAAGTTTTTCTTCCGACTGTGGAAAGATATGTATCGCCACTTATCAGAAAAAATTGTCTCACAAGAGTATAAAAAAAAAAAAGGTTTCCGACAGAGACCAATTATTCAATTGCAATTCTTCATTCATTTTCAATTTTCATTTCCGGTATATGATAAAGTATTCTTGGTTTGCTACAAGGTACATAACAGTGCGGCCTCCTGAACTTGTATTGCCCGTCAAATATTGCCTTGAAACTGAAAACCAATGTGAAGAAGAATATGACAATGAAGTTTTTATTCGTTTTGCGTTATTAAAAAACATGTATGTTTTAATCACTCAGTGGAAACCAGTCATTTCTGCTTTTTATTCCTGCCGCACTAACTTGCGACGAGACTGCTCCTGGCTTTCGCCTGCCCACCCGATAGCTCTGTGGCCCGCCTGTTCGGCCGTCTGCCAGCCCTCTTGATGCTAGTAGGGATGGCCAATGGCACCGCGAGACTCCATTACTGGATAAGATTTGGATATGGGATTTTGATAGTGCCTTGCGTGTGCCAAAAAAATATCGATGGATGTTTCGACATGAATGCTATTTCCCGTGCCAGTAGAGGGGGTATTGGGAGGAACAGGTTCTTTCAACATCAAGGCAGGGCAGTGATGTAAACTTCACCAGTAGAAAACTCAGCATATTAGTGCTTTTTAAACTACATAGCAATGAGAAACAATGCAAGAATTAAAAAAAAATTTGAAGAAATAATTAAGTTATAGAAATTATTGAGTAATAAAAAAGAACAAGATATGCACAGATCGTTAGAAAGAGGAATCAGATTGGAAAAGAAGAAGGTAAGCAATATAGCAATCTGAATGATGATGTTCCAAGTGGAGCTCATATTTTCGTGGGCCATGCTGTGCTAACTGACTGACCACGGTCTAGAGAGCTAGAGGATCAAGAAAACCTGCGCACATAGTACTATAGATGCAGATATGATTGCTTAAGAACCAGTGTTTGAGAAATTTCCTACAAAGTGATCAGGTCAGAATAAAATCACGGTCTGGACTAACAATTATCTATTAACCATTGAAATTGCATCAGTCATACTGACAAATGAACAATAATTTTTTGAATATTAATAAAATATCAACAGTTAAACCTGGATGAGAATATATCATTAAATAATAACCATTTCAGGATTATAACAGAATAACTGACAGATTTATTTGAACAGGCAATCGCTCTTAGAAATACACACATTTTTAAATAATAAATTTATTCTACATTTTTGTTCACATACAATATCACGTTAACATCAACACTCAGGAGTAATCTTTTAGGCATTTTTAATTTGATTTATACATTTCCCGTTTGAGTAGAATTTTATGTTTACATTATTAGCTATGTTACACATTCTCCATAAAGGCGCATGACAAAATTGGTTGGTTTTTTCAACTTGTTCAAAAAAAAGTGTCTCATTCTGTATTGTGTAAATTCATTCTTGAAACTTTCAGTAGTAGTTTTGAGTGAATGTTAATACAGTCATCTCATTATAATTAAATTGTATACAAATTTTGAATCAATGAGATCTCTGTGATATTTCAACGAACTAGTATCTGGTATACTTGCAATTTGATTATAATCATAACTTATTCTAGGTGAAGGCAAACACAGCTTCCATGCCACGAAAATTTAAAAAATTATATTGTAATCTTTCTAATTTTTTAAAATTATTTTCATATATTTGTGACCTAACAGAGGACGAATACTATAAAATTGGTCTCACCAATGGTATATATATATAATGAAATTTAAGTGTTACTGTGAAAATTGAAGAGAATTTTTACAGAATTCTTTTGAGTTTTCGAAAAACTTTATTGGAAGTCATTAGCATTTCCACCCACAAAAGCAATAATATATTCAAATCTCTGGAAATGTGCATATTAACCTTCAACTGGCATAGTGAGTATTTGTTACATAATGAACATCGTGTTGTTTTGAAACCACGCCTTCTTTTTCTTTTTTCATTTTATTATGAAAACTTGTAATCAGTTTTAAACTATTTCTGTTAAATCCCATTTTTACACGAGTTTGAAAATTATTTAGATAAAATAATTCATATTTAATATATTTTTACCTAACTGGGTAATTATTAACTTTTTAGTGACTGATTAATGATAAATAATCGTAAATAAAACCACATTATTGCCTGAATTAATTATTATGCCGATGCCTTAATTATTTCCTGTTATCATTTTCTGACACACATTATTCAATAAAATATAAACATAATTGAAAAAAGACTTGTACACTTTCTAATTAAACAATAAAATATAAATATTAATTTAAAAAACTCATTTCTTGAAGATGCTAGCACATCAACTTGCCGAACCTCATACAAAAGTCAGACTCTTGAATGGAATGAACTCTTAGAACTCTCAGAATGTTTCAAAAGACAAATTCTGACACACATTAAACAATGAAATATAAACATTAATTGAAAAAGACTCGTAGACACTCTTTACAAATGTTCGCCTGACATTCATAGCACATTGATCGGCAACATGTATCACACACATTTTTCGTTTTCGGTCATTTTTTTCTGACGTATATTCTGTACCATTTCCTTTTCCTGCATTCTTGTGGATTACATTCAGCACTAGAAATAGATTTGTTTAATATTCTTGAGATGGTTCCATGAAGTTCTCTTGGTAGGTGTTCTAAGAGTTCTTTCCATTCAAGAGTCTGACATTTGTATGAGGTTCGGCAAGTTGATGTGCTAGTATCTTCAAGAAATCTAGCGTTTACAGTCATTCTCAATTTGCATGTCTTCAGTGTCCCTATAATCACTCTTCACCTCTAGGGGTAGCAATATCTTGGTAAATGTCAGCTCATGACACAATCTTGAGAGAAAACGCCATTTCAAACACAGTTGCGTAACTGGCATGGTGGAGCCGCTGTGACCCCAACAAATGTTTTCACTTAATGTCACTGCTGAACAATTGCATGAAATTCATCAGTACTTCTCATATCAAAAGATAAATGTGATATGCTGTTTACCTTCAAATAACAAAGTTCTCATTTGAAAAGTATGCAGGATATCCAATTTCAAAATTTGAAAGGGTTCAAAATAGCATCACAATGCCAGTTGAGGATTAAAGGTGTAATTTTTGTAAAAATATTATTGTGTAATTTTTGAAAAAACAAAAGCAAAATGAATTTTGTGTCTTCTTAAACGGTGCAATTAGCACTCTCTGAAAGAAAAGTTTTAAGATGACATTTGGATCCCATTTTGAGAAAATAGCATTAAGTGTTTCTAAAAGTGCACAATTCTTAGCTCATTTTTAACAAAAAAGTTTGAGTTTTTGAGAAACTTTTTTTAGACTTCATTTAAAGCATATATAGTGTCTTGATGCAATAATGTGAGCAAATTATCGCTAATGTAAATATTAACAATGTGAGGGACAAGACAAAAAAATTAATTTTTGAAAAAACAAAAGCCTTTTGCCGAATTATATCATCTTATAGAATACATTCCGCACTCTACCAAAAGCGGAAGAAAAAAAAAAATAAATAAAAGAAAATTGGAGCTGTTTTTGAGAAAATCTTGTTTTTGTTGTATATTGTATTGTGAATCTTGTTTATTGCATATATTTCACATAATATTTCACAAAAGCTAGTAAAATTTACATGACCGTAGTGAAAGAACTAATTATAGAGAAAAAATTTTCCTGGAAGGAAAAATCTTTATGTTCAATTTTGTATTTGTAGGAAGATGCTGAAAAAAATTGAACCTTTTGCAATTTTCTAAACTTCAGTTATTACTGAAAATCGGACCTATGGCACCTTTATAGATGTTTTGATCTATTCTTACAAGAAATGTAAAGAAAAATTTGCTACCATTTTTGAGAAAATTTTGAAAATGTCTCAAGGGCTTCATGTAAAGTACCCCCAAAAATTAATGAATGTTTTCCAAAATTGCAGAGCTTGAAGTAATTCCAGATCGGCGGACATGTAGATGGGCGGTTGGATGTTTTTAAAAAATAGTCACTTTCAGTATCGAGCTACCCCCAAAACATCTATTTTGGTTGAAATCTCTAAATCGATTTTTCACACCATTACATAACTTTGTCTATACTCTGTATACACATATGCATACGAGGAAGTAAAAAGAATCGCTTCCATAGAAATTACTAAACTTTATGTATAAAAGAGTTTTCAGTGAATGGAACTCTTCAAACGGACATAATTAAACATCAACAATTCAAATCAAAACTAAATGATTATTTGCAATCAGTTTTACCTGTTTTAATGCTTTGATACAGTACACACACATGGTACTGTAAAATTGTGTGTAAATGACTTGTATATATGTCAGCTCATTGCAATTCATACATAAATTGATGTCAAATGAAGTGTTTCAAATCCTTTATATACTTTTACAAACATAGGTAGCAAAGACCACTATTATAAAAAGCGGTCAAACAAAGTTTGCCAAAAAAAATTCTTCAAAGCTTTGTGTAAAACATGGTTTCTAATTTGCTTGATTCATCCACCAGTACAGGTTTTAAATGGAATTCTGCAGTATTCATTTAATATAAAAGCAATTGAACCACAAGCAGTATTTTCCAAAATTACTGCGACATAATTTTTTCATGCCCAGAGGCTTCCTTGAGAATTCTAGACTTATCTTGTGCATGTGTCTTTCTTCAAAATTTGTAGCTTTATTCATGTCAGTGTCCTAATCTACAGTAAAATATAAGTGTTTTTTTTTCTTCTTTCCATACAGAATGGTGTTGTAACAGAAGTGTTTGTGTCTCATGTAAGTGAAGGAGGAGAAATATTTTTAAATATTAAATCGGAGAGCTTCAACTATTTACAATCTTTGATGGAAAAATTGATGGAAGGTGGAATAAGTGACATACATATAGCAAGAGCCTCCAATCATTCTAGTAATCCTACAAAACTATATTTGGCCAGGTACTCAGTGGATTGTGAATACTATAGAGCTATTATTATCAATGAACCTGATGAAAATAATTGGGTAAGACTTAATTCTTATTTCTTCTCTATGTTATGGGAATTCGTTCTAATAAAGGGAGTTTAGTATTTTTTTTTGGTGAAAATGTAATTGTTGCTTAGAAAGTTACTGATGACAAATTCTACAATCTAAATGGCAAATCAAAGATTAAAATGCAAGGAATGTAAGTTTACTTATATTACTTTACAATGATGGTATGTCATGTCATTATCACTTGTTTACCAACTCGCTTTCTTGACTAAACTACTTGTATGTGGACACCAAATAAATAATTAGTGGTGATACAGAATGGCATAGACTTCCCCATATTGGTTTTCTATTTCCTTTGGTCAGGTTTAGCTATTCAGACTTGCCACATACTCTTGCCAAGTGCCATTTATCGCCGCCCGAACTTAATTTTTTTCAAATTAGTAATTGTTCGGTTTTCTAATTGTAGACCAAAAATATTATTTCAAGAATATTAAAGAATAGTAAAACTTGGTCCTAAATGGCAATTTTCTTTGAAAAATTTGGAGCAGTTTTTAAGAAAATGGCGTTTAAGTACTTCTGTAAATTAGAAATTTGAACCTCGTTTCACAGAAAACGTTTGAGTTTCTGAAAAACTTTGTTCAAAGTAAATTGAAGCGCATCAACTCATAAATACAATTGTATTTACAAATTAATGGAAATGTATACATTAACAGTGTGAGAGATTAAAAAAATTAACATTTGTGTAATTTTTTAAAAAACAAAAAATGTTATCCATAATGAACATTGTATGAATCCAAAAATTACTGAAATTGAATGCCATATTAAAGAGTGAAATTGAATGTCATATTAACACTATCCCTTCAAAAAGTTTGAAAAAAAATCGGAACTGTTTTTCAGAAAATGGCTTTTAAGCATTTCTGAAAATGTGGAATTTTGAGCTAATTTTCACAGCAAACTTTGAGTTTTCAGGAAACTATTTGACATTATTTAAAGCATATGTACTCAAATATATTAATGTAAGAAAATTTCTGCTAATGTAAATATTAACTCTGTGAGAAACAAGTCAAAAAATTAAATTTTTGTAATTTTTGAAAAAACAAAGGAAGCAATATAGCGTTTGTCATCTTATAGGGTGCATTTAGTATGATCCCTACCAAAAGTTTAAAGAAAAAATTTGGCGCAGTTTTTGAGAAAACCTTGTTTTTGTAATTTTTTCAAATTGCAAATATTGCACATAATATTGCTTGAAAACTACTAAAATTTTCAAAAACATGTACATGACCTTAATGAAAGAATTAATTATGGACACCAAATTTGTTATGAAGGTAAAACCTCCATCTTCAATTTTGTGGTTCTAGGAAGACATGAAAAAATTCTAACTTTTGCAATTTTCAATAATTCAGAATTAACCATGAAAATTGGACCTGTGCCACCTTTATAAGCGCATTTTACTCTATTCTTTCAAAAAATGTAAGGAAAAAATCAAGAGCCATTAAAAAAAAAAATTGAGTTTGCCCTAGGGGCTTCACGTAAAATACTCCCAAATTTTAAAGAATATTTTTCAAATTGTCAGAGCTTTTGACTCGAGCCAGATGGACAGGGGGTTTCTTCAATTTGGAAAATATCCTAGGTATGATTTAAGCCATAGTAATGTTCAGAGACAGACAGACATTTTGAAAAGAAACAACACTTTTTAGATATTATGGGATCCCAGTATGTGTATATCTTTGAAAATCTTGAAATCAATTTTCTGCAGCATTACATTACTTTACATTTATACTACCTATATTACTCTGTATATATGTATGTATACAGGAAAGTAATAATTGTGATAAAATATTCCTTTTAAATGTTATACAGGTAAATGTTCGGTTTGTTGATTATGGTAACACAGAAACTGTTGCTGCATCTAGTCTGCTACTTTTAGGACAGTTATCGGAAACTCTGGAAAGATTTCCTTACCAGGTAAGTGTGGAAGGTGAAATGAAAAGATAATTATTTGTCAAATTTGTGCATTTTTTAAGGTAATTTTTATGAAAATTGAAATTTTAACAACTTCACTGTATGAGGAAACTTGAATGCACATCAAATAGAATTTTTTTTTTTTTTTTTTTTTAACTTAGTTTTCTTCAAAATATAATTTGATAATGTATTTTAATGTATCATCTTTATATCTTTAAAGACAATTATGGATGTACGGTTTAAGTATAAATGCATCATAGAAAAATTGATCTTAGATGTTGCTTGTACTTGGAGGGTGATGCGCAATCGCGCTTCGCACTATTTGAAGAGAAATTATTGTAAATTTAGGAAAATTTTGTAACTTTGAAAAGTATACAGAGACAGAACTAACAGAGGTACTTGAGTATTTTTGAAATTTACTGTCTAGCTCTTAACATTTGTAATAAATAATAAAATTTTCATTCTAAATTGAACATTTAATCTTATGAGTTTTAATATTGTAATTACTTTTGTTGTCATTCTGTTCGGCATATTATAACTTTATTAGGAGCAGTAATTTATATCTATTTGCTATGGTATTATACAGTGCCAGATTACCAAACAAGCTGAGTAGGCTGCAGTGTAGAGTGTGCAATTTTTGGGGACTGACAAATTTCAGCAAATGCAAAATTTCATTAAGCGAACGTTTGAATGTTCTTATAGAATCCCCCCCCCCTATTTGTAATGTATTTAATGAATGCATCCAATGAATTACATCCACTGAAATGCAGATAAAATGGATACAAAAATATTGTATATTTATTTAATAAGCATTGTTGAACAAAAACGACGACGACGACAAAAACGACGACGACGACAAAAACGACGACGACGACCAAAAACGACGACGGAGACAAAAACGACGACGACGACAAAAACGACGACGACGACAAAAACGACGACGACGACGACACAAACGACGAACGACGACGACGAACAAAAACGACGACGGACGACGACAAAAACGACGACGACCGACGACAAAACGACGACGACGACGACAAAAACGACGACGGACGACCGACGACAAAAAAACGACGACGACGAACGACGACGACAAAACGACGACGACGACGACGACGACGAGACGACGACAAAAACGACGACGACGACGACGACGACGACAAAAAACGACGACGACGACGACAAAAAACGACGACGACGACGACGACGAAAAAACGACGACGACGACGACAAAAACGACGACGACGACGACGACAAAAACCGACGACGACGACGACAAAAACGACGACCGACGACACGACAAAAACGACGACGACGACAAAAACGACGACGACGACAAAAACGACAAAGACGACGACGACGACAAAAACGACGACGACGACGACGACAAAAACGACGACGACGACGACGACAAAAAACGACGACGACGACGACGACAAAAACGGACGACGACGACGACGACAAAAACGACGACGACGACAAAAACGACGACGACGACAAAACGACGACGACGACAAAAACGACGACGACGACGACGACAAAAAACGACGACGACAAAAACGACGACGGACAAAACGACGACGACGACACGACGACAAAAAACGACGAACGACGACGACAAAACGACGACGACGACGACGACGACAAAAACGACGACGACGACAAAAAACGACGACGACGGACAAAAACGACGACGACGACAAAAACGACACGACGACAAAAACGACGACAAAACGACGCGACGACACGACACGACGATGACGACAAAAACGACGACGACGACCGACGACGACGATGACGACAAAAACGACGACGACGACGACGACGATACACAAAACGACAAAAACGACAAAAAACAATTTAAAAAATAGCACTAAAACATTTGACAGCTTAGAGCACACAAGTGAATATCAGTACTGTTATTATTGAACAATGCAGGTACTTTTGGGAAGTTTTGAAAATAATTTTAACTCAATGTTAAATTATTAATTTATATAAAGTTAATTTTATCTACAAAAGAAATATTTTGAATGTTGGTTGTTAGTAAAACAATTCTCAATAAATTTCTTAACTCTTTAATATTTTCCTTAGAAGACTTGTAAACAAAATAGTGGGTAATACTTGGAAATCTTTTGATATTATTCACAGCATTCTCTATATTTCCTTTAATTTTTAAATGATTTTCTTTGAACTTCGTGCCCACTTACATATACCTTGGTCATTTTTTAGTTTTATTTTTGATTTCAGGCCATTAAAGTATCTCTCCATAGTGTACCACCAGAAGCTTTTGGTCCTAAGTTTGTCGAGCGTTTTCGAGAACTTGTTAAGGAGGATGAACCTGTTCTTGTGAAAGTTGTAAAATCTGGAACTGAAAACATGTCGTCTGAAGTTGAGATGTTCAAAAGAACAGAAGACAAGCAGTTCATATCAATAAACAATACATTAGCTCTTGACCCTGAATTAGTGAAGTATGTAATAATAAAAGAGATTTTTTTGTAACTTATTTACAAAATGATCAAGACTACATTATTATTTGGGATAAACTTTTTTAACTATGGTTGATTTATTTGTTTTGTTTGTTTTATTTTTATTGTGCATGTCTGAAACACTTTTTATTAGAATGAATTATCAGATTTTCTTATCTTTCATAGGCCCAAGCAGGCTAATGAGAACCGTCTTCGGAGGAGGCATATATCTCGCGCTCACCCCTTTGATATTGGACAAGGTAAATTTCTGAATACTGCTTTATAACATCTAATTGTGATACTTGCTTTTAGCAAATGTCAAAGCAAAAGCTTTTATACAACTGGCCTGTGTGTTATTGTGAAATAGAGTGCAATTAGGCTTTTAATGAAGCTGTGACAAAATGTGAAACTTGGTTTATTTGCTGTCCTTTTAATGAAGGTGAGACAAGGGTGTATTCATTAATATTTAATTCAATTCAAATTCTTGCCAGAAAATCTATAATTTTAATGAAGTTGATAAATCAATCTTGTGGTAAATCAGTGGTTCGTTGGCTACATTATGTATGAACACATTGTTTCGTATAAAATGAAATTTAGCAAAACCAGCAAGGTCTTCAGTTTTCAAATGAAAATACATTGAATTTGATATTTGAAGAGCCCTCAAACAACTGTTGACATTAGTAAGAAATACTCTAAAGAATATGAGAGGCTGCCAAACAAGTGTATGGTATTATAAGTGAATTAGAATTCAAAGAAAGATACACGGATAAAGACTGAGAAATTGAAGGTGAAAGGGAAAGAAACTTAACTGGGAGGCTGTAGTGAAGGGATACAAAAGACCGGAAATGAAATTGGAGAACAGCACTCTAAGTGACCAAACATTGAACCACGCTTCTAAAGAGAAGACAAGATGCATTCGGTGCAGAGCGATTATACAAAATAATGCAGTTATCTGCAAAAGATCAAACCACATAAAATGCATGGAAATAACAGAAAAGGATGCAAAGTACTAACAAAAACATCTGAAGAAATTAATATTGCTATGTCAAGAATGTCTTAACAAACTAGAAAACAAATAAGAAATCCCCAAAGAAACCCAGAACATTAATACAGAAATGTTAGTTGAAAAAGCAAATAGTGGATATCCACAAAATGCTAACGAAACTGCATCCAATATGAAATATTGTTTAACACAAGAAAGAAAGGAAACAATGAAATATACAATAAAACAAACTCCAGAATTAATAAGTAAAAGTAGAGATAATTTTAGAGCTGACAGAGACTTTGTCATAATATGTCAACAGATTGGGGAAACTAAAAATAAACCCAAAGGCAAAATTAGTAAGAAAACATTACAGATATTTGACAAAATAAACGAGGAGAGGGCAATTCAGCAAGTAGAACTACAGCTAAAGTCTCTGCCACTGATGGAAAGTGAAGTAATCTTGTTAAAACACCAAAAAACAAATGGAAAAGAACAAACAGGAACAATGAGAAATGAAAACAAAGTGAAAAAAAATGAAGTAATCCTGTTGCAGCACCTAAGAAAAAGTGATGGTCAAGAACAATTGGAAGAAAAGGCAAATGGAAAAAAACAAACAGAAATGAAGAAAACTGAAAACAAACAAATGGAAACCAATGAACAGAGTGGAAATTGGCCTCTGGCAACCAGAGAAGCTACAGAAAAACACAAAAAGAATAACAGTCGTGGGAACTAGATCAACCCAAAGTCATCTCCAAGCATGATGGCTATTCATAGGTTGAGTCGACACCAGCAATAAAGGAGAAGACATGACAAATTATTTACAAGAAGATGAAATAAAAGGCACAATCTCGTATGTACAGATACAATCAGGGTATGATTCGAACAAGTCTTTCAAGATTGGAGTGAATTTTAAGACATTAGAAACTTCACAAGATCCTGACTTTTGGCCCCAAGGAATGAAAATTCGTCAGTTTCGATTTCGCTTCCATCCCAGAGAAGGCAGAAAACACTGTGAGAACATTTTCAAAAACAAAACACTTCAACATTCAAAATAATATTCCTACTAATACCTTGCTAAGAGTAGGAACATGGAATGTTAGAGTATTAATGCACATAGAAATTGAATTAAACTATGAACTGAAAAATAGGAACATAGATATCTCTTAGAACCTTATCTCAGAAACAAAAAAGAAGAATAAAGACATAAAATAACTGGAAGACCACATTGTTATATATTCAGGTGTAGAGGAAGAAAATCATGCGGCAGCAGGAGTAGCTTTGATAATAAATAAAAAATGGAAAGAGAACATAGAAGAATACAATGAAAATAAAGGTGAACCAACATAACACACTGTTTGTAAGATACGTGTACAACAGCTTGTTGCTGCCACCATTAATAAATAAATAATATTAAATTAAATGTAATGTGTGTATATGCACCAGTTGAAGGTGAAGTGGAAGAATCTGACTGTTTCTATACACAATTACTACAATTGGTAGACCAAATAAGCCAAAAGGAGTTTCTTGGTATCTCAGGATATTTCAATACCAAAATGAGCGAAAAGGAAGTCCCCCCCTGCAGAGGGCTGGAAGGGGGGAAAATTCTAAATGTAAATGTGAAAACACTGCTAAACTTTTGCTTATTCGATAACCTGATTATAACTAAGAGATTTTTCAAACACAAAGATAAACATAAATGTACTTGGAAAGCGAGAGATGCAAATCTATACTAGATTATGTAATAGTCAGCAGAAACCTATTAAATTGTGTCAATAACATGAATGTATACAGAGGGGAGTGAGATATCAGTTTTTGGTAGAAATCAAAATTAAATTAAACACAAGGTTCAAAAACATAGAAAATTAAGAGTATTGTACCAGCTAAACTCAAGATACACCTTCTAGAAGTTCTGAAAGCATCAGAACACATTATGAAAGAAGATTAAGAGGAAAATTTACAAACAGTAGAGAAACATATTGAAACATTTTGGACCTCACTTAAACAAGCAATGCTTGAGACAGGACAAGATAGTGTAGGTTACAAACCATTCAAGAAAATAAAATGGTTGAGAACATGTGACAATGACTTGAAAGAGATAGCAAATCAAAAGAAACATATAGGTCTTACCTTCAGAAAAGAACAGTGAAACATGACATTGAATATCAAAAACTAAGAGCCAAAGTAAGAAGTATAAGCAGAATTCGAGAAGACTGAAGAAAATGTATCAAAAGTATAGAAAGAGACATTTCTGGTCCTCAGTGAATGGGATTCAAAATTTTGAAAATGCTGCACATGAACGTGAAAGACATAATCACACTAGACTGCATACTTGACAAGAACTGAATAAAATACTACACCACCCTATGGAACAAGCACTCAATGTAATAGCTGAGAATTTCATGGAAGAACAACACTATGGGTTCTGAAAGGGAAGGAGCACTAAAGATGTCAACTTCACATTACAGATGATAATTGATGAAAGAAGAGACAAAACTTACCAACTTTTGTAATATTCATTGATTACGAAAAGACACAGGCCAACAGAGTAAACAGACAGAAACTCTGAGAAATACTGAAACAGGAAAAAATTCCAAATCAATTACTCAATGCAATCCAGTTTTTATATGAAAACTCCACCATTGAAATAATGTTAAGAGATGAGTTTGCAACAATAACATCCAACAGCAGCCTAAGACAGGGATGAGGTCTGCTGCCTACTCTCTTCAACATGTCAATCACCTAGTGAGACTCTGGAGGAAGAAAATTAAACAAGGTATCCAAATCAGGAAAGATTAAAAGATAGATACAATCTTATTTGCTGACAATCAAATAATCATTACAGATTCTGAAGATGATCTACAAAGAGCAGTTTTTGACAAAAGAGACCCAGAAATATTCTATGAAATTATCGGTTCAAAATACTAAAGTTATGGCACTGTAAGACAAAGAACCGAAGAGACTCATAATTGTAATAAATGGAGAAATAGTTTAATAAGTCCACAAATTTTCATATCTTGAAAATAAGTGTATTTATATACACCCAGGAGTATTTAGAAAATAAATTGTACAAATGAAACAGAATCTGTCGAACTATAAAATGACACTTTGGCAGGGACATGGATATTCCTTCCTAAAGAAAAAAAATCCTTTAGATCTCTTTAATATTTTTGTATTTGTTGCTTATTTGTTTATTTTAGGTTATAAATATCTATGCTTCATTCTTGAAAGTTGTGGACCTTGGTTTCTTGAAATATTGTTGAAGTTACTCTTTCACCTTACTTCATAAGAAGAGAGAGTATTGTAATTGTGTCTCTCCAAAAACTATGGTTTTTAAATAGGAAAACTCTTACTGCTGGGACCTAGTAATGAAAAGTGTATAAATCTTGTTTCTATCTGTAGTAAATTACGTTCTCTTAACACTTTATGTTGTCAGAATCCATGTTTTGTGGGACCTTCGTATCAAAACATTAATTGACAACAAAACGTCTACCTGTGGGCAACGCTAGCACCTACATATGCAGATTAGTTTCTTCAAAACTGATATTCCTCTATCGATTTAAAGGAACTTGAAGCCTTCAGAGTTTAAATAGATATTTTGTATTTGTGTATGGGATAGTCGCTTTAATACATGTAATTATAATATAGGAGTACAAGATGCACGTTTCTTAATGAAGCCACAAAGAGAAAATTTAGGAACAATATCTTAATAGTAAATCAGGTGGTTACAAAGAGCAATTCTCATATAGTACATACATACCTTAAGTCTGTAATGTTGAAAAAAATCAATTCGTTTACAATACTTGTTAGTAGTAGAGGCAATACAGTAGAAGGTATCATTCATTTGATAGTTTTCACAGCTTTGACAGAAAATAATAAGGGATTACGTGTTGATTTTGGGGGTTTCTTTACATGAAGTTTCAATTACATTTTCCTTTTTTTTTTTTTTTTTTTTTTTTTTTTTTTCAGAAATGGCTCAAAAAAATGTAGATTTAACTTTCATATTGGATAGTGTTAAATATGCATAAAAGAATGGCACAGATCTCATTTTTATTGAAATCATTGCTTTCCTAAAATTGCAAAAGATCAAACTTTTTTGCGGCATTTACCTACAACTACAATATTAAGGATTCAGATTTTCTTCTTTAATAAAATCTGTCCTTCAAAGGCAGATCTTGAAATAACCATGTACTTACATATTTTCAAAAATATGAAGTAGTTTTTGTGTAATTTTGCATGAAATTTAGTCATTTTTTAAACAGTTATTTTCTCAAAAACAGATCCAATGTTTTTCTTCAAAGTTTCTCCTCATTTGTATCAAAGGACTAAAAACGTTATGCTAGTTCCATTTCTGGCAAACTTTCTGTTTCTTCAAAAACTGCAAAAAGTTAACTGTGCAATATTGAAGATAAACATTTTTATTAATGGTGGCTGCAACAATCTGTTGTAAACAAATCTGACAACAGTGTAACAAATTATATAATTCTGTTTGATAGAGTAACAATTTTATCATTTGAGTCACAATTATAGATCACAGATTTTACAAGTACATATACATACACATAAATGTGCACTGAATATCATTTAGGTAATCGCAAAAGTATAACTATTCAGGCTATTCTTGGTGTTCAAAGTTTCCTTTTGAATGCCATCAGCTGGAAGTGTATTCCATGCATTTACACCCCAGGTTACAATGATGAGAGATTGATGCTGATTGTTTTATTGTTATAGATCAATTGTAATGTGGGTATTAGCCTACAAAATGGGCAATTCAAAATAAATATTAAAATTATTAAAATTGAAAATTTTAATGTTGAGTTAAACTGTCATTGTGTTCAGAACTTTTTCTTTCTCTCAAACTCTTGAAATTGGTTTTTAAATAAAAGTATTGAAGATGCAAAGATTTTAAAGGAGAGTTGCTTTTAATTTTTCACTTTTGCATAGTTTGTTGTACAGTTTTGGAAATAACATTGTATGACCACTGGTGACCCTTAGCTTCTGTCTCCCGTATATGATAATATTGTGGACAGTTTTCTCTATTACAGGTGACCATCAAAGAGGTTTGGGAGTTCCTCAAATTCCAGATGTAGGACAATATTTTGATGTACATGTTACAATGGCTGCCAACCCAAGTAATTTTACTGTGCAGCCGTATAAAGAACGTATTAGTTTAGAGGAACTCATGGGAAAAATGCAGGATTATTATAATAATCACATTAGAACACCTGTTTCACCTGATAATGTTAAAGAAGGTGGTTTGTTTGCTGCTCTTCACAATGATGAAAACTGGTACAGGTATGTTTGCAAACTTGTGTTAAAACCATATTTATTTTTGGTTTCTTTTATAAGGTTTTTCATATAAAATCCTTTAAAAAACATTAAGTTTTCTTTTTCTTCGTTTCAGGGTTACCGTGTCCAATGTAATTGGTGGCAGTACAGTCTCAGTATATTTTTGTGATTTTGGTGATGTTGCATTTTTGCCTTTGGACAGGTTGCAACCACTAAGCAATCAATTCAAAAGTTTACCTGCTCAAGCCATTAAAGCTAAATTAGCAAGTCAGTATCTATTAATTTTCTTATTTGCATTTGATTTAATAATAGTGCATATTCCAGTGCTATATTTTATCATACTCCATGTTTTTTGTTACATTCTTTCTATCATTTTTTGTATATGTGCTCATATAAAAGCAGTCAAATTGTTATCACAAAAATTACATTGGTTTGCTGAGTTTACAAAATCTTATTATGCATTCAAAGAAAGTAAACTTTGGTGATAACGAAATTTCATGAATATTTTAATTGCTCTAATTGTTTACATTTTTCATAATCATACTGTTATAAAAAACAAGTAAACATTTTCGGTCAAGGAGGTAGATTCAGCAAAATTTCTGAACCACGTGATGCATAATGATTACCAGGTCACTTAGCTGTTTACCCATACAAAATGAGTCTTAAAAAATAGCATCTCTACTTTGTAAGGTATGGGAATCCTTAGAAAGAAAGCAAAAGATAAAACTTCAGTACACCTTATGAAATGTTGGTCTGTGAGGAAGAAAAATAAGGGTCGTATTCATAGTCAAGACTTATAATACAATAACTAAATGCTTATGTAATAAGGGTTTACTTCACATAAGTGGACCCTTATGAAAGTTTCGCATTCATAGACCTCACTTATTTGAGTCGCACTCTGACAATATTTCGCTACATAATATTTGGCAACATTGTTTTATTGGTTACTAGAAATGAATCTAGAAGGCTGTTTCAATCTTGTTTATAATTTTGGTGGTTCTCCTGAATTAAGTCCTGTGCGGATAATTGCTTTTGGTAGAATGTTTTCAATTTTGCATGATTATTTAGTATAATTATTGGTATATGATATTTGTACAACAGATGACAAGAATTTTATGAACTTTCTAATATTTCTTGATACTACTTCAGATATTTCTTTAATGATTCTAGAAACTGAGGGCTGACTTATTCTATAAAGATCTGCACATGTCGACTGAAAAAAATAATAAAATAAAATAAATACACTTTTTTGCATGATGCATTGTGATTATCATTGTAGGATAACCTACAAAACATGGTCCTAGTAGGATAAACTACAAAATACCCCCCTGTAAACTGCATTTGAAATCAATAAATTACATACCTGAAATGATGCTGCCTAAAATTTGTATGCCATTAGCATTTTTAGGACTGGTGGTAATGTTTATCCTCTATTCCTCAAGCCCAAGTTGTTAGTGACCAACAGACACTGATATTTACGACTGTATTCTTGTCAAAAATATATCTCTTCTTAAATTCTTGTTGACATGTATTTCCAAAGGGTTTTCCATGACTCTCAAATATCGTTTTGGTACACAATCTTCCATATTGATTACAATAATTCTGAAAATCATTAAAATCTGATGTTATTCCACGTTGCCAAATAAGGGTCTATTTGTCAACGCTCACTTATAAGAAAAAGTAATTTTATGAATTTTTGTAAAAGGTACATCTCATTTAATAAGTAAAATAAAATGAAAATGCTTAAGCAAACACTTAAGTGACAATTATGAATTGAAAATGCAAATAAATAAACACAGGTGTTCCTCAAAAATACGTGTGACTATGAATATGGCCCAACTAACTTGTTGAAAGAAATTTCCCAAAATATGCTTTGGTGTACATATAAGAAGCTTACATATATAAATATTGCATATTCACTATACGTACCATTAATTTAAACCTTAAAAAAGTAGATTATTATAGAGTTACAACAAAGCATTAGCAAAAACTTATGAAGTTTCATTTCAGTTTCATTTCATAGCATTAGCTTATGAAGTTTCATTTCATTATTTTTATTAACATATATACATACATAATTATTTACATATATTATTAACTCACCATTACTCCTGCATATTTTGTACGCCATTACTAGTGTGTTAGATTTTATCTAACAATTGTTTATGGTGTATTTATTATTTTATTTAGAATCAAATTCATGCATTAATATTCCAATATATTTGTTATTGAGTTCTATAACTTGTATAGATGTAATCATCCATAAATATGTGACATACTGGCTCATAATTTTTTTTATAATAAGCACTCGAATCAAAATCACTGTTATAAAGTAATGTATTATATAAAGCAAATTTATTTAAGAAAAGAAAATCACGGAATGCAATTAAATGCAATACACAACAATTTAATCATATTGAAACATTCAGGGCCATTTGTAAACTGAAATAAGCTTCATCAGAACTACATGCATTGAAACAAATGCAAAGGAGTTTCTTGTATGTTCTTTACAGAAATGTTTGGAACAAATATTACAACAATGCTGCGTTGCTTTGGTTTCTCGAATCTTGTTTTCCCTTCGGTTGCTGTCCAACATAACTTTTTACTGTAAAAAGTGAACAAAACTAACTGTATCTACAGCAATGGGATGGGGGATGATATTCTTGCTAAATCTATGAATCTTGTCTTTGATATCAAGTATAAAAAACAAGATCAAGATTAAACACTAAAATTTTCTTATCTTCATGCAAGCACACAAGACACAAAACAGAGTAAATAACTGGGAGGATAGTGGATGCGATAATAGTATTGAAATATAACATGAATGTTCACACTGGAGAAAATATCTAACAAGACTTGCCACAATAATCAGTGACTTCTCATACTGTTTCCCTTTGTAGAAATTATAAGAATGTTGAACAGATGAAGAATTGAATCTTGTAGGTAGGCATTGCTCGAGCTTTATCTCTGTATGTTGAAAAATGTCAATGCTATTTAAATACATCCAGAATTGTTATATTTTTGCAACAGTGTGAGCTGTCAGTGGGTTAATATCAATTATTGGTAAAATGTAGCTATTTTTATCCCAAGACTTAAGGTGACAGCTTTGTATTGTGTAATTATTTAAAAATAGAACAATCTGAAATTCTGAATGATGGCAGAAATGTGTTCTGATGTCCTTAAAGAGCTATTGCCTCTTGGTGTTACATGTGTGCTTGTGACCTGACAGTTAATTTGTCTTGTTATCCATTTTTAAAAAAAATTATTTCATTTTTTGTATGTATTGGTGAGTTATCTTTCTGTGCATTTGCTTTAATAGCAGCCCAAAAAACTTAAAGTTCTTATTTTATTTTGTTTCCCTATAACAAACTTCATGTTATAATTGATCGTTATTGCAAGTTTGTCCTTTTTGAATTTCAGGAATTATGCCAAGCCACGGGGACTGGTCAGTCGAGGACTGTATTAGATTCCAGGAACGAGTTGTTGAAAAACAATTTGTTTCAGTGATTGTAGATTCAGGTCCGGACTTGTTGAATCCTTCTGATATTGTCATTGGATTACAGTTGTATGATACCTCTGGAAATGTAGATATTGAAATTGATAGCTTACTAGTTGATGAAAAGAGAGCGGTCTTTACTCCTGCAGTACAACAACAACTGCAGCAAGTGCAGCAGATTGGGTAAGAAAGCAATTGCAACAGTAGTGCATAACTTTGTAACCGTTTGTTCCTCTGTTGGATTCGATGACAGATCTTGCAATTCATTGCCTTTTGATTTATGCCACAATGCTGAGTAGCATTCAAAGATTTAATTTGTTTTGAAATACTCAGCTATTCAAGTTTTGTTTTTAAAGCAAGTGCAAGAGTATAGGATATTTTATGTGCATGCAGCTTCAGACTTATATTCTTGTATGGGAAAGATGGTTTTTCTTTCTTGTTAAGCTGCAAATAGAATATTAGTTACCAATAGATCTTGCTCATGTTAACCTGACTTGTTATATTGTTATGGTCAAAGAAATGTACTCTACATAATGTACTTTTATAAGTTATGTCAGTAGCATGAACAGACTAGAAATGGTGCTCATTATATCATTTAATGGTTTCAATAACTCTTATAACACTACATTAATTTAAGGTTATTAAAATCTTTCCATTATCTTGCACACATTATTTATGTACTGAATTCAAAATCCAAATGCAAACTTAACATTAAGGTTTGAATTTATAGGCTGTGGACTGATGAGAAATAATAGTGGTCTTTTTTAACCATGAACTTTGTGTGCCAATTCTATATTATGTTAGAACATTAACCATCTCTGCCTGCCTGCTATACAATGAACTGCTCCTTTGTTCCATTGATCCTGATCAGACCCTTATGATCTATTAGAATAGACTTGTAGTATCTGATTGAATTCCTGATAATCTTCATGTGAATTTTCAGGGCAGTCTTAAAATTCTATTGACGTTTATTTGCTACTGCCTTGTACTAATTCAATATATACACATGAGTAAACTTTTGTTTGTGGCGTGTGTATAAAACGTTTATTCTCTTTATTAACTTGGTTTTCGTAGGGACCATCTATTTCACCCCCACCACAATGTCAGACATTGTAGAAAGATACATAGATTTATTGTATTCTCATTTGGTGTGTTTCTTTTTACATTCTTATGAAAGTTTTAATAATTCACTTCCATTTTTTTCATCATAAATTCTATTTCATCTTCATCAATGCAACAAGAGTAAAATGAGTTATATCTTTTTTTCCCTCAATAGAATACATTTCCAAGTATCATGGATTAAAACATGTAGGTTTTACGTCAGCACCATTTGGTATGTCATACAGATTACTTTTACAGACTGTCAAAAAGTTGAGGGAGTAGAAAAGAGATTGAATAGTGGGAAGAGCTAGTCAATAAATAGTTTTATTATCACTACATTTTACTTGAAACTGTTGAAAGAGAGAGACCTTTTAAACTAGGGATTTTCAATAATTTTAATATTTTCATATTTTCTAAAATGTTTATTACGTTGCCTTTATTTTCTAAGTGAAGAATTTTGATTTGGATATCAGGGTCGAAAGAGTGATTATACGGAATTAGGTGGTTGGCAAATGTAGAATTTTCTGATTTCAGTCTCGAAGAACATTGACTCTACATGAAAACTTTCTACCCATTTCTCGCATATAGGCCAAATTACAATTGTTACTTTTTAATAAATAAATGCAACTTCTATCCATTAAAGGTATGAGGGATTTATTGCTAGAGAGCAATGGTTTTTGAGGGATATTATGAGTTCTATAAGCTACATTTATGTGATATTTGCTAAAAAAAATTTCTATCTTTTTAGACATTGGTTCAATGTAAGGGATATTTAAGAATTTTTTGCTTTTTTAAAAGGGGAGATTTTGAGGGAAGACCTTACTTGTTACTAATTTAATTTCTTTTTGTTTAATAAATTGTTTAATGACGGAAGGGTTATATCCATTATTGTGAGCTATTTGCAAAATAGTATTAACTTCTTCAGTAAAATATGATTCTGACTTTGAAACTTTAAATAATCTATGAATCCAAATAAGGAAAACAGCAAATTTATCTTCAAAGATAGGTTGGAATTAAAGGACATGATCATATCAGTTTCTGTTGTTTTTTTTTTGTTGTTGTTTTTTTTAATTTTAATACTATATTTATTGTTTTGTAGAGAATTAGTTAAGTCTAGGAACTTAAGTGTGTGGTTCTTTTCTAATTACATTTTGAAGGTTAAATTAGGGTGAAAAGAATTGAAATAATCACAAAATACGATCAATTGTTTGATCATACCTGTCCAAAGGCAAATAATGTCATCAACATACTAGAAATAATACTTAATATTCTTAAGCAAAGGAGTTAGAACTATTAAAAAAATTATATTCAAATTGCTCCATATAGATTTCAGCAAATAATGTAGACATGTTAGAACCCATAATTAGTTCTTCAGTTTGTTTATAAATTTTGTTGTTAAATTTGAAATAATTATGTTCAATGTATAAATATTCTATGTATGTTCAATGTATGTCTAATAATTTGATTAAATCTATTTTTACATAGTAAAAGGATTTAGAATTCATAATGTGTTATATATAAATATCTTGAACTTAAGACGATGATATGTTGGTGAATAAGTTGTGGTGGACATTATAGTAATCTCAACATTTGAATTGAAAGAAGTAGGGTATTTATGTCAATATAGTTTATATAATTCATTATATCTTGTGTATTATCTTTATCAGATTTAATAATTAAAGTATTGGATTTCACTTTCTCTATTACTTTGAGTATAGATTTGTTACTATATTAAGTAGAATTATTTTGATAGGTCTGTTGATTTCATCAAAAAGAATTTTAGAGCAATCAATAACTACTGAATTGAGAATATTGCTATTTATTTTGCTTCATAAAGGGGCATATTTTAGGCCTTTAAAAAGTGTTTTGCAAGTTTCTAAGAAAAGAAGATTTCGTATTTTCCATTCAAAATGGAGAAATGCAAGAGGCTAAAATAATTTTGTGAAATAGATATGAAAAACAAACAACTTGGAAGCTAGTGTGATCCTAATTGAATACCATTTAATATTTTCATGTTTAATCCATGGTACCTGGGCTATATTTAAAGCTGTTCTTGGCAGAGGTTCAGGCTTCAGGTTTACATAGCTGGGCAAGATTTTGTAGTAATATGCAAGTTTGGTTAAACTGTATGTTACAGTTTTGCTGCATTTGCTCGATCTGCGTTTTGAATAAATTCTGTGGTGGCAGCAGAAATATTGTGGTTATCCGTGATAGACATCTTTATTTCTTTTTTTCTTCTTCTTTTTTTTTTCTTTTCTTTTTACATTTCTTATTTTATAATTCAGTTCATGCTGAAGGGATATATTTGTAGGAATATTGACTTCTCCATATTTATGCTTATAACTTTTCCTAGAGTTGAAATTATTTAGGTAAATGTAAGAATCTTCTCAAGTTCTTAGGTGACTTAAAGTTGATTTCCCTTTGAATATTTCTAACACATTCAAATGCTGCAAGTTCTGTTCCCTTAAATAAAATGTACTCTTTCAGAAATTAAGCTATGGATTGAATTTTAATTTTTATTGGGATTGGACTTTCAATTTAAGGAAGTTGAAAAAAAATTCATGATACAGAATGGAAGTTGAAAATAAAAAAAACCTGACTTGCTATATAGTATTGTCTTTGTATAATTTTTACAAGTAGCAATCTGTCACATTGTGAATGTTGAAAACTAGGCATTAGTTTTCAATGTAAAGAGAAAATGGGTGCTATCATATTTCTCCATGAAAATCAAGATTTTTGTTAAGTTCTCTTGAGGCACAGACTGAAATTGTTTTATGCAGAAGGTATAAGAAAGTTTGTAGCATGCTCTCTTTGTTGATTACCTGTAGTATCAATTGCATACATTTTTAAAATCTCGGAAAGAAACAAAAACATTTAAAGAGACGGTTTTCACATCAGCTACTATGGTGCCTAGTTTGTGGCATGCAATACAATTATTATTTTATCATTATCTCTGATGTATAAGCTATCTTTAACTCAACCTTTGTATAAGGCTATAATTACTGATATTTTTTTTAGGAATATTATGCACCATTACTCTTTGCAAGTGTTATATAATCTTTTTTATGGTCTTGGGTTTTTATGTCAGTAAATTGAAAAATGTGTATCACTGTATCAGAATTATGATCAGTATTCTGAGTTGTCATGTTTTCTCTGTGCTTGGATTTGTATCAAAATCTAAGCACTTTGAGAATTTCCAACGTTAGTGTGGAAGAAATAAAATGAGCATTCATTGTATGTGCGAATGTTTTGAATTGGACTCATCACCTGATAGTCATTTGCTCTCAAACTATGTTGTTGTTTTTTTTGTAAATTTTCCTTTCAAAGACCCATGAAATTAAAAATACAAAATACAGTCCTTTAATGAAGCAACTTGTACAGCTTTTTAAGAGATGCAATTTTCACTGAAAGTATATGTTCATGTTAAAAATTAGTGCATTCATTTAAAGAAAAAAATTGTAAACTGAATTTCAACAATGTTCACCTAAGTGTGCAAACACCACTGTAAAGTTTTGGTGTAGCTTTAATGATGGTTAGCGTTCAAATATACAATTTTCAGTAACACTTGTTTTTCTTCATGGTCCTTATTTGTAGACTTTTTAGCATTATTTTATCCATTAATATTCATTAAATTATTTTTTTTGTATTAAAAAAATTAATTGCAATCTATGCCTTAAGTCTTAAGCTCTTTTATTAAAAACAACAACAAAAAGCATTTAACAAAGTTCTTTCTGTGCATGCTAACAGCTACATATGAGAGAAGAAATTCACAAGTCATAGGAGTTGTTTTGGAGCCATCAGGATATACAGGCCTCCGTACTGGTCACCATTTTATTTCTGATGTCAGCAATTTAGTTCTGTGCCTAAACATGTAGAGCCCACTAGCCAGAAACAATTGTCCAGCTGTGTTTCACAGTTATGAATGATATTGGATGACTTATAAAACTGTCAATAATGTAAAAATTCAATGGAGTATCTTCATTTGACCATAATAAACACAATACTGTAAGAGATAACTGCTCTAATTAATTACATCATGACAGTAAGCTTCTTAAGCAAATTTTTATACTTTTGATTTAAGTATTTAAAATATTTTGTTTTGAAAAAGCTAATAACACTGAATGTGGATTTCAACATTTTCATTTTTCTTGTGCACATTATCTGGATAACTTACTATATTATTTTGCCACAAATTTTTATTTCACTAACAAGGAATACAAATGAATACTGGATTTTCTGATATTTCATGAGATTGTTCCCTGTTTTTTCAGGTGTCTTTTACAATTTGCCTCTGTCCTGTCTTACTATTTAATATTTGTTGTGTTTTGAAAATTTTGAAACTTTGCTATCTGTTTTTATAGAAAATTATAAAATATGGAACATTTGACTTATTGCAGTTCACAACCCAATGTATGAAAATGCGGAGAGCTTAAGTTCAATAAAAATATTAATGATCCTTTTGGAAATATACTTCCTGTAAGAACTGTATCAAATCTTACGAACAGTTTCCTTTTCAACCTACATGACGATTAGCATGAGATTGTAAAAATTTCATGGGTGTTGGCAATTCATAAGTTTTCCTATTTACAGCATTTTTGTGTTCCATTACAAACAATTATATAAATCTAGTTGTTGTTTTTTTTCTAATTTCTTTATAATATGTGTCAACATAACTATGAGTTAGTAAGATGTTACACCCTATTCAAGAATAATACTCACTACATCTTTATAGTTTGAGAATATACTAGTTATTAGAAAGATATGAGCAGTTTTAGCATCAGCAGAATCATGGACATCTCTAGCATGTGAAGTTGAAGGAAGGGGGGGAGGGATTGAAAAGAAATGTGAATCTCCGGAATTTTGGTTAAAGCCTCATCAATATTATATTGATTTATTGAAGTTAACATACTGCACACAGTAGATAAAAAAATGTTCAGTTTTGTCATAGCTCTTCATTAACCCATTAATGCCCTTCATTCTCTGATGAATGTTTTTTAATGAAATTTGAAATATGAACACTTCTGAACTATTATTAAAACATATTTCAAGTACAAAATCAAACATGATTGCCAACACAGGAAAATTATCTGGCAACTTAAGTTGCCACTGGGATAAAGCACTGGGGTATCGGTAAATGATAAAATAATCTCATGAATAATATTGAAGTACATATTTTCTTCTGTGAATTGAGAAAGAAACATAACAATTATTCATAAGTTCAATGGCTTTAATCAGGAAAATCTTATCTTCTAGGCAATATAGAATGTTTTGAAGCAATTTGCTGGATGAAGTAAAGCATTACATTTTTTGCAAATGAATATAGTGAGGTTTCCGCAGACTTTGCATTGACAATACTTTCACCTTTCTCTACTACTTGATCTTTGCAATTCACAAGTATATCTTGAATTGCATTTAGAAAGATTCTACTTACACAGGTGATATTGCTGCTGTGCCATATGGTACATTAAATGGGTGGAACATTGACGCTTGATATCTAGTACAGAAATCTTATTTCTGCAGCGTCTGTAGAGACGCCATCCTTGTACACAACACACATCAATGCCCCATACAAAAAAAGGCCACCACCATTTCATTGACCTTCTGCCACATCTGTAGGTTGATACAAACTGAATAACTTCACATAAATCTACCCCACCCATATTTTTGTTGTGTTTGTCTACTAATCGTGGCATTTTTACAGAGATCTTTTTCTTTCCCGCACCTGAGTGCCAGCTGGCAGTAATCATTGGATGAACTCCATCACAGTGTTTGAGAACAGTGACAACATTATTGTTGTTCCAGTGTGCTTCAAGCAAATTCCCTTTGGAGGATGCTGCCATACTTCCTCTTGATTGTTTTTTCCAATGTTTCTTGTCAGGTCACTTCATGTTACTTTGACAACGATTCTCTCATATAGTTCCTTTACCCCCTAATACATGTGATGCAAGTTCTTGTAGAAGTGCTACAGTTGCGAACAAATTGTCAGAGTCTAACATCTTTTTTTTAGATCAAAATGTTCTATAAGACCTAAAACCACATCTGCTCCTTTGCCTAAGCCTTTAGTAGGTAAGCAAGTAGAAGCACCACAGTATGGTTCGGCATGATGAACATAAACCAATGGTTGGATCAGCTGCTATCCAGATTTTGAAGCCAAATCTTATCGGCTACCCTCTAATAAATTGCTTGGCCCCATGATTCCCACAGTAGGATATAATGCATTCATTAAAAATGTCAGGCCCGGATTCACCTGCTTGAAATTGAAATTCATAATATCAAAGGGAGGACGCACTTTGTATAACCAGTCATTCCCATCGTTGGTAGAATTGTCTGCTACATGCAGTGACTTGACCCATGACTTGATCAAAATGATTTCACCAAACTGCATTTGCAACTATGGGCACATATACATCAGGATAGTCTTCCAATAAAGCCTTGGTAGAAGGGAGTCCATGATAGTTGGAGGGAAGCAGAACTCCAACAATACATAAAATCTCATCAGGTGAAACACGTCTATTGGGAGGTAAATATGGACATGCATATCTGTTGGTTTCAGTTACAATGTGATCTAAAAGATTACTGCACAAATAAGCCTGAAAAGCATTGTCAGGATAATTTACTGTATTCTTCAAGAAATCTTCTGCGTTGGAATAAAACTCAGATTCCATTTTAGGAATACTGTATGACAGGTCTTTGCTTTATGCCACTGGTGCTCTTTTTGATTAATGACTGTGATGAATTAGTGTTAGAATTTAAGCTTCTTGAAACATTTTCTTCACTTACTCATACGTCATCTTCCATGTTGTCTCCAGTAAGATGCCTCTCTTCATTTCTTGAAAATTGCAAAATTGTTTTGGAGTGCTAAATCTGGAAGCAGGAAAATGATCAGGTTCACAAAATACTTCTTCATCCGAGTTGTGAGAATCTTTGTCCACATTAGTATTAGTATGTTCATCAGGTGAACAAATAGCGATATTGTCTGGGCACAAGCTGTCATTTTCTTAAAGTTCTAGCATTTCATGCAAGAGAAAACCATCACCATTTCTGCCTCGAGAAAACCTGTCAAAATATAAAATATAAGTCAAGCTACCTAAAATAATTCATAATTGAAATTTAGTGATCATTACACAAATGTAACACACAAAATTTTAAATCTTGGCAAGTGAGATTAGATGCAAATATATTTTTTCAGAATGTGGTATAGAAAAAGCCCAATGGCAACTTAAGTTGCCAAACACATTTAGATTACTCT